AGCCACCACGCCCAGCTTGTATATAAGTCTATAGGACAGATTCCTACAGTGGAATTACAGTGGTCAGAGTATGCATATTGTTAAATTTGCTATGTAGCTAAATTGACCTTCAAAAGATTATACTAATTTGTATCTCTGTAAGCTGTAACATGGCATTTCCTACAGCCTCATCAATAGCAGGTATTATTATTAAAAATGTTTAATTTATGCCAAAGTCCATCTCTTATTTTTAACTGGAATTTATTTGTTTGCTAGTGAGACTAAGCACCTTCCGTATGGTTACTACTTTTATTTCTTCTTTAGCGTATTGCACATAGATTTCTTTTAGCAGGCCAAGATGAGAGGATTGCTTGAGCACAGGAGTTCAGGACTAGCCTGGGCAACAAGGTGAGACCTTGTTTCGACACAAAAAATTGAAAAACTAGCCGGGTGTGGGTGGCATACACCTGTGGCCCCAGCTATGGGAGGCTGAGACAAGAGGACTGCTTAAGCCCAGGAGGTCAAGGCTGCAGTGAGCTATAACTGTGCCACTGTACTCCAGCCTGAGTGACAGAGCAAGACCCCATCTCAAAAAAAAAAAACCCCAAACAAAAACAAAACAAAACAGAAAAGGAAATCAAACAACAAAAAAGATGGTTTTTCTTATTGTGGCTCTTTGAATTTTAAAGATACTTTCTCATATATTGCAAGTGTTTTTCCTAGCCTTTTTTTTTCTAAATTTCTTTTGCCACATGAAAGTTTGGAAATATTATATGGTCAAATTAGCTGATCTTTCCCAATATTCTTACACTTATTATTATTACTTTTTGTCTTTTTTTCCCCCTTTTTGTGGAGAACGGGGTCTTGCTATATTGCCCAGGCAGGTCTTGAGCTCCTGGGCTCAAGCTATCCTCCGGCCTCTGCCTCCCTAACAGCTGGGATTATAGGCGTGAGCCACTGCGCCCGGCCTCCAGTATTCTTTGTCACTATACTACACTGCCAAGTGAAGTGGTGACAACTGTGGCTGGAGGATGGCAATTAAAAAACAGGGAAGTTTCCTAAAAATAAGAGGTGATGATAATGGGATGGATAAAAGGAGAATCTTTAATCTGAGAGAAATACAAATGCTCAACTCCTACTTTTTTTTTTTTTTTTTTTTTAAAGGGATGAGGGTCTCACTATGTTGCCCAGGCTGGAGTGCAGTGGCTATTCACAGGTGTGAACGTAACATACTGCAGCTTCTAACTCCTAGGCTCAAGCAATCATCCTGCCTCAGCCTCCCAAGTAGCTGAGAGGTGTGTGCCACTGTACCAGGCCTCAACTCCTATTCTTTTTTTTTTTTTTTGAGACAGAGTTTCGCTCTTGTTACCCAGGCTGGAGTGCAATGGCGCGATCTCGGCTCACAGCAACCTCTGCCTCCTGGGTTCAGGCAATTCTCCTGCCTCAGCCTCCTGAGTAGCTGGGATTACAGGCAAGCACCACCATGCCCAGCTAATTTTTTGTATTTTTGGTAGAGACGGGGTTTCACCATGTTGACCAGGATGGTCTCGATCTCTTGACCTCGTGATCCACCCACCTCGTCCTCCCAAAGTGCTGGGATTACAGGCTTGAGCCACCGCGCCCGGCTCAACTCCTATTCTTAACAACATGCCTTAGATGAGTAAAGTATGTTATACACAAAAAAAACTAGGGCAGGGAAATACCAGATCACTTCTGGAAAGCCCTGCCAAGCCCAGGGTGGTAGAGACAGGCTTTTTGCTTAATTCCTGGCTGTAATTCTTGGGTAGGAGGGTCAATATGGAAGAAAGAATCTCCAAGGACTGTTAAGAGGAAGGACAAGCCAGGAGTGGGCAGAGGTGTCAGAAAGGTCTTACTTTCTGGATTACTGCCTAGCACACACTAAGCCCTCACAGGACAGACTCTGCCAAAAGCTTGGTAGAGGGCTGTGCACCACTTTGCCAGCCTTCAATAAACATGCACCAACTGCAAACCAAATTACAACATCTCCAAGTATAAAAATAGGATGCTACCTTGTGTTCTCATCATATTTATATGGAATCAAAAACAGCCCAGGCAAAACCTCAGGGCTGCTTGTCCCACTGGCCTGCTTGCAACTGGGTTTGTACCTGGGGTCTCTCCAGGAGCACCTGGGGTCAGGGTTCCAGCTACTGTCTCCACAATGATCTCCATGTTCCCTGGTCCCTCTTCAGTTGCTGTGGCCTCTACCAGCAGGCAGCCTGGCTCAGTAGGTAAAGGTGTGGGGTCCCCAGAAGGACAGGGGCTCTGGACAGGCCCCAGGAGTCCACGGTTAGGGAGAGGTGGGGGGATCAGCAATAGCTCAGGGCATAGTCCATCCATCTCTCCAGTGCTACTGGCTGGCTGTGAGTCCAACAGGGGGTCTGTCATCACCACGACTTGTGTGTTTTGGCCTCTTAAATGCTGACAAGCCAACCAGAAGAAAAAGAAAATAAGGTTAGAGTTTTTACTTTCTTCCCAGCTGGTGTGGGTACACAGCCCAGTGCCCACCCACTTAGGCATATTCTTGTATGGCAGCATGCCATACATACCTTATGAGACAAAATAGAGGCTTTCTTTTTATGATAATGTTCAGAACAAAAAATATAAAAATGATAATAAAAAAAGAAAAAGAAAAAAACAAACAAAAAATGATAACAGACTATTAAGAGAGAGCCAACAAGTATCGGCCAAAATATTAATGACTGCAGGTTGTCTCCTGATAGCTAAGTGCCCTTAGCCAAGTCATTAAGCAATCTGGGTCTCCGTTTTCTTATCTGCAACAAAATTAGGTGGGGCCAAAGTATCTCAGAAGTTCCCCTTCCTTTTTTTTGAGATGGAGTCTCGCTCTGTTGCCCTGGCTGGAGTGCAGTCTCACTGCAACCTCCACCTCCTGGGTTCAAGCAATTCTTCTGCTTCAGCCTCCCAAGTAGCTGGACTACAGGCATGCACCACACAAGCCTGGCTAAATTTTGTATTTTTAGTAGACATGGGGTTTCACCATATTGGCCAGGCTGATCTTGAACTTCTGACCTCAGGTGATCTGCCTGTTTTGGCCTCCCAAAATGCTGGGATTACAGGTGTGAGCCACCTTGCCTGGTCCCTTTCCCTCTTACTGTTTGATAATCTCACTATTCCTCAGAATGATTATAAGGAAGTCCTTTCCTTCATCAGCTGGCTCCTGCTAACCTCCCAGACTCATCTCCCACTTCTCCCCTCAACAGGTCTCTGAACCAGATGATGTGCCATTCTCCAGACCCGTCTCATTCTCTGTTGCTTTCACACCCTCACAGCCCTTCATGTCTCTTGGCTTGATATGCCTTTCCCCTTCTCAATCTCCCCCTCTTGTCTGGCTAACCAATTAACTATCCTTGAAGAAGCTGCACAAATGTCACTTCTGCCATGAAGGCTTCCTGACACTCTTAATCCATTCTCTCTTCTGGCATCCTAAGAGCACTCTGTACACAGTCCTATCAGAAACGAGGTCACACTGCACTGTTGTTTACCTGTCAGTCTCTCTCCCTAGATGTGTAGCTTTTTAATAATTTGTTGACATCATTACTTCAATATCACTTTGTGATACTGACATTATCACTTCAATGAATACAGTGAAGAACCACAGACAGGGAACTGCATTGGAGTAAAGCTAGGTATCTCATACCAAACCAGTGGTTTATCATCTATAATGTAACATATTTGGAGAAATTCCAAACTCATTAACCACCACCTAAAACTAAATATGAGAACATAACTGAGGAATGAATGACAATTAAATTGCATACTGTTACACACGGCTATAATGAATTTAAGCTGAATAATTAGTAATTAATAAGAATAATAGTAATCATTTCATGAAATTGAGTCACAGAGAATTTGCAAAAAGAAAAAAAAAAAAGAAAGAAAGCAAGACCCTGCAATCTGATTGTCCCTACTTCCAGAATTCCACGGACTCAAAACAGTTGCTCATAGGGATTCACAAAGTGGCTGGGAAGAGCACTCCTGTTGTCAGAGGGATTCTCTGTAAACTGCAGCTTCCACTTACTGAATTTTATCTCTGCTCTGGGGAATCTTCCGACTCGGCCATTCATGGCCTCCGGGGGGAGCCAAGGAGGACGCTGAGCCGTCAAGATTAAGAACCTTCACCCGACGGAGGGCAGGGTGAGGTAGGAGACAGATGGGCACGAGAGAAGAAACACGCGTTATCTTCCGAGTAGGAGCACTGGGGAAGAGAAAGGACAGACTAAGGCAGACACGCCGGGAGAAACAACGGGCCCCGGCCTAGGGACCCGGGTTCCCACCTGCCGCTGGGTTCTAACTCTCCGCGTGGCCTTGGACAGAGAGTCGCCTCGCTTCTCTGGGCCTCAGCTTTCCTGTCTGTAAAATGGAGGTGATGACAGTGTCCATATCTTCGGGCGGGAGCTGGATCACAAGAGCCAGCGAACAGGAAAGGCGGTTTGTAACCTGGAAGGCTTAGTATGGAGCATCGTCATGATTTTGTTCCTGAGAGCAGCGGGTACCCAGGCGGGGTCCAGAGCCATGACGCGACTGTGGCGCCGGGGCCCATCTCGTCTGCGTGCTCCCTTCAAGTACCTCCTCCCGAGAGTTCCCAGGGTCCAGGCCCACCCTGAGGCCGTGGCTGGAAAAACTTCGCTTCCGGCTCGCTCCACCCCGCATTCCCTTCCCAGTTCCCGCCCCGCAGCCACTCACTCACCTCCGGACCCAGAGCCGGCTGGAGCCGCATCTCTATGGTCGGCCGTGGCTGGAGCGGCAGCCCACGGCCCCCTTTGTGCGACCGCCTCCGGCCCAGCAGCCTCTAGTATATCGGGGATGTGGAAGCTACTCTCTCTTCCTCTGGCCGCTGCGGTGGTACTCTATGTTTTCTCTCTGTGGTTTTTCCCGCCCTCCACCCCTACTCCAGCCCTGAAGTCGGAGGAAGCACCATCGAGAGCTCTGGGGTAGAGTGGCGTGGGCTTCTCGGTAGGTGTGGCGGGAAGTAGATGAAAGGACTCGGGGCGGGGCCGAGCGCTGCTTCCCCAGAGTGCGGGCGCGGTGAAACCAACGAGACGGAGGGCCAGAGAGTCATGGCGGTGAGTGGGCGGAGTGACTGGTTGCCCCAAACCATGTGGCTGGAGGCACGAGCTGGGGCGTGGGCAAGTTTCAGGAGGGGGCTTCTGGGTGTCGCGGAGGGGGCGGGGACGGGAGAGCTTTGTCAGTGGCCTTTCATACATAGGTGTTTTGGAATTCTGGATCCCAGTTCTGAGGCTCGGCCGAGGTCACTGCTGTCAGCTGATCTCCCTGCATGCCAGGCGCAGGGCAAAGTGGCTGGGGTTCCGGGTTGAAGGACAGGTGTACTAGAGACAACTTTGCGCTTATCCCTCAGGATCTTATTGTCTACAGTGTAACGATCCGTGGAGAAAGTAGCAGATGGGTAGGTTTTCAGTTGAGGAGGATAAGGGAGGAAAGAACCGGCATTCCGAACCAAGAGAACTGCATGAGCAAGGAGGTGGGAGGTTGCTTATCTGTTGAACATATTTGTTGCATATTTGCTGAACAGGTAGTGTTAGGAACTAATCCATGAAAGGTAGGTGTGCGCCGTATTGTGGAGGGCCTTGAGTACCAGGCTGAGTTTGTACCCAATTCAGGGGTCTCTTGGGGGCCAGCCATTGAAGGTGCTGGAGCAGAAAGAGATGGAATTGGAGCTGATCCCTATGATGAAAGATCCGGACCCTTGTGTAGCTGTTCAGTGAAGCAGGAGGTGAAGAAAAATGCCATTTCAAGAACTATAATTTTAAAGATAGTTTAGGTGGGAAGTAATAAATGTTCCCAGGACATTAGATATTGGGAACGTAAGGGAGAGGATATTTGAAGGACGTTACTCATGGTAACAAGGCATAGGGTTATTGACAAGTCAATAGACGCTTCTCCCTTGCTGACTCCAGCTAGTGGGCCCCTTTCTGTCAAAGCTGGTACCAGGGACCACAAAAATCCTGTCCATCCATTATCCTGATGTGAACCCGGTTTATATTGCTCTTTTTGGTTTAAGGCATCTCCAGACATGGTCCTCTGGTAGGAAACAGGTATGAGTAGAGTAATGAAGGGCAAAATGGGATGAGGGACCTGGAGTCTCCACCCTTGCATTCCAACACTACCCTTACCCCGCAAAAGGAGGATATTGACCGACAGAGTAGTGCTAACCTGTGGCAGGGCTGGAGAATTCCAATTTCTAAAGTAATCTTTTGCTTTGTCCCATCGCCACTGTTCCCCACTTGTAGGTTTTTGCAACACCCCAGAGCCAGTAAAGTTTGGTGTTTCCCTTTCAAGATGCCACTTTCAGACTTTATTCTGGCCCTGAAGGACAATCCCTACTTTGGGGCTGGATTTGGACTGGTGGGTGTGGGTACAGTCCTGGCCCTTGCCCGGAAGGGTGCCCAACTGGGCCTGGTGGCATTCCGGCGCCATTACATGATCACACTGGAAGTCCCTGCTCGAGACAGGAGCTACGCTTGGTTGCTTAGCTGGCTCATCCGCCACAGTACCCGTACTCAGCATCTCAGTGTGGAGACTTCGTACCTTCAGCATGAGAGTGGCCGCATTTCCACTAAGTTTGAATTTGTCCCCAGCCCTGGAAACCACTTTATCTGGTAAGGTTGGGAGCCATGGGGGGCTGTGAGAGTAGAAAAGAATGATGGGAGCTGGGTTTGAACCATTCACTCACTCAGTTTTGATTGTTCTTATTCAGGTATCGGGGGAAATGGATCCGGGTAGAACGAAGTCGAGAGATGCAGATGATAGACTTGCAGACGGGGACTCCTTGGGAATCTGTTACCTTCACGGCCCTGGGCACTGACCGAAAGGTTTTCTTCAACATCCTGGAGGAAGGTGTGGGATGGCACAGGCAGGCTTTCTAGGGACATTGCAGGGATGGGGACATTTGACATCAGAGGATAAGCAGTTTGGAGGTAGAATAAGCAGACTGGGGTGAGCCCAGGGGAGCAGGGGGCCAGAGGGAAGCTATTTGGCATAGCTCCACCTAATCGAAGAATCAGCCAGCCATGGTGAAGAGAATTATTGGCTTTATCTCATCTTCTTCCCAGCTCGAGAGCTAGCCTTGCAGCAGGAGGAAGGGAAGACCGTGATGTACACAGCTGTGGGCTCTGAATGGCGTCCCTTTGGCTATCCACGCCGCCGGCGGCCACTGAGTTCTGTGGTTCTACAACAGGGTCTGGCTGACCGAATTGTCAGAGACATCCGGGAATTCATTGATAACCCCAGGTGGTACACTGACAGAGGTGAGAAGCAGCTGAGGTCTTTGCTGTGCTGTTTTTGACATTTTAGAGGGGACAGGTTGGTCTCTGGCCAGATGGGGTGATACAAAGTTCTGGTCCAATTCCCAGAGATTAAGAGGAATGAAAAGTTGTGTATGAGGATGGTTTTTTTCCCTACCAAGGTTATCAGGCTTCCAGCGGGCAGGGCTGGGAATGAACGTGGATATCGGGCAAAATCCGTATCATCCTGGCTGTTTCCCTAGGCATTCCCTACAGACGTGGCTACCTGCTTTATGGGCCCCCTGGTTGTGGAAAGAGCAGTTTTATGTGAGTAGTCAAAATTTCTCTGGTAAAACTAAGCCTTTGTGGAAACACTGGGCTGATGGGGTTGGAAAGGGAAATGAGGTCGAGGGGCCATCTCTTTTGGGTGCTAGTGTGACTGCTGCCTGGGGACCAGGGGCCAGGATAAACATGAAATGTGTGGAACATGAGGGTGTGAGCCAGAAGTCAGGCCTCTGAGACACATGTCCCCAGACTGTGAGGAGAGTAGCTGGGCCTGAGGAAGCATTTCCAGGTTGCCTGCTACCTCCTGCCATCCCATCCTCCATAGCACAGCCCTGGCTGGGGAACTGGAGCACAGCATCTGTCTGCTGAGTCTCACAGACTCCAGCCTCTCTGATGACCGGCTCAACCACCTGCTGAGCGTGGCCCCACAGCAGAGCCTGGTGCTCCTGGAGGACGTGGATGCTGCTTTTCTCAGTCGAGACTTGGCCGCGGAAAGTAAGTGAGGGGTTCTGGAGGAATGGGAGTGAGTAACTGCGGAACAGGAGAACACAGTAGAAATCCAGAGGGCTGGCAGTGGATGCCTGGGTTAACAACAGGAGCCCATGAGAGGCATGGTAAGGGTACACAGTGGGGCTGGCTAATTTTATGGCTGGACTATGACTATCCATGCTTTATCTTTGCCTTACTCCAGACCCAGTAAGGTACCAAGGCCTGGGTCGCCTCACCTTCAGTGGACTGCTCAATGCCTTGGATGGTGTGGCTTCCACTGAGGCCCGCATCGTGTTCATGACCACCAACCATGTTGACAGGTAGGACGGATCCTGAGACTGAGGCAAGAGCCCACCTCCTCAGTGCCTTGAGAGGAGCAGGTCAAGGGGCCATCTCTTTTGGGTGCTAGTGTGACTGCTGCCTGTGACTCTGCTTTCCCTTTCTTCTCGCAGGTTGGACCCTGCCCTGATACGCCCTGGGCGAGTGGACCTGAAGGAGTACGTGGGCTACTGCTCACACTGGCAGCTGACCCAGATGTTCCAGAGGTTCTATCCAGGGCAGGCACCTTCCTTAGCTGAGGACTTTGCAGAACACGTCCTTCGAGCTACAACCCAGATCAGTCCTGCCCAGGTGCAGGGCTACTTCATGCTGTACAAAAATGACCCTGTAGGGGCGATTCACAATACTGAGTCTCTGAGGAGGTGATTAGGCTGCGCTTGGCTCAGCTCTCCTCCTCTAGTTCAATAAACATCTGCCACACTACTCTGCTCTCGGATCTCCCTTCACTGGATTGGTACTTGAATAAAAACCAGAGGCTGCAATCACAGGTGCCTACAGGGGTCAGTCAGGCAACCACATATGCAAATGATGGAGCATAGACTAAGATAGAGATGAGACACAAAACAGGAAACTAAATTCCTCTACCTAAAGGCATTGTATGTATATATATAATGGACAGACGTGGGTGTGTACACATGGGTTGTTAACAGGAGTCCTAAGGACTCTGCTTACATGCTGACATCCCACTAGTTTTCCCTGGAACTGACTACACTAGCTGATGAGATGTCAGACCCCCTTTACCCAGCTCTCTGGAGAACAGACTTCAGAGCACAGGTGGGGACTGCTTTGCTACACCCCAATCTTACTAGGAATTGAGAAAAAGACCCATTTCTCACAGGCTAGGCACTATTGAGCAAAGAAAGCCAAACAAGGTCAAATATCTTTATTGTTCCCCTCCCATCCCCAATTCCCTGTCCTTGCCAAGTCCTGCTAGGAACCATCCTCAGATTCCAGGCCTAGGGGCTCCCTCCGAGTACCAGGCCGGTATGCTCCCTGGCCCCGAGGCAGGCGGGGGTAGGAAGAACCCGGTGTCCGGCCTTTGGAGCGCTCCCAGCGAGCACAGTCCCGAGTCCTGCGGGGTGGGGGGCCCTGCCAGCTGCCAGGCCCCTTCTCTTGGGGAGGACCTTCAACCCCTTGGCTATGGGGTTCTGGCTTTAGGTCCATAGGCTCCTTGAGGGGCCCCTCTGGTGGTGGCAGTTCCTGGGTGTCACAGGTACCTTTGGGGGCATGGCACTCCCCTCCCTTCAGGTACCTCCGTTCAGGCTGTCGCCAGGGACCTTGACTGGGCTTGGGGGGATCTAGCACAGCTTTCTGGGTTTCGCCCAACCTTTGCTGATTTGGCCCGGCCCCTGGAATCTTCTCACACATGTACTGGGTGGCCACAGGCAGAGGAGCTGGCAAGGTGGACTGGACGGCTGGTGAGGTGGACAGTTCTGCTGCAAGGGTGCTGGGTGGGTGGGATCCTTTGGAGACATCTACAGCTGACTCAGGTTCCACAGGGGCAGAAGGCTATGAAGAAATGAGATAATGCAGCAAGGAGGATGCAGCTCCTCAAAGCAGGGAACCGCAGGCCCCTCTCCTACCGTCGGGGCTGACCAAGATCGGTCTATAATCTCCCTGCTTAGAACAAAGCCCAATCTGGGGCCATGGCAGATTGGGGTTTGTAGGAAGGTTGGTGGCATTACGGGATGACTGGGAAAACCTTCCCTCACCTGCTGAAGGCTGATGAAGTATCGGTTTCGCTCAGCCTCAAGGTCAATGATGCCCCCCCGCTCCTGCTGCCTCTGGTAGAGCCGCTTGAGTTCTTCCTGCTGGCGCAGGCTCTCTGCACTGGGCTGGTACAGCTCCTGGAAGGAAGAATGGCAGAGAGGAAATAATGAAAAGCAGAAGGCAGACTCAAATCCCTACGCCTCCATGGCTGCCTCAGGAAATCTGCACAAGATTCTGGTTGAGCCCCTCAGGTCTGGGCTCCCAGAGTCTTAGGCTCCCACCAGTGGGGGCTGCGGCTTTGCAGAGAGGTCCTAGGCAGTTCAAGCCCAATTGCAGAGACTCCACTTGACACAGACAAGGTGCCATTCCTTACTCTTTAGAAAATGCCATTACTCCTGGCTCACATTCGAAGAAAGTCCCCTTACCATGGGCTGCTGGGGTTCAGGGGCTGCTTTCAACGAGGCAAGATCATATACGAGGGGCTCTCTGCACACCGGACACTGCACACCGACTGCCTTCTAAAAAAGAGAAATCACATGCCTGCATCACAGCCCAGGATGCCCCCTGGTGCTGACCCAGTCAGCCAACCTAATCCACAGAGGGCTGGGACTAAAAGGCACAAGGACACCGGTTCAGCAGTGAGTTGGGACAGAGCACTGGGCAGTCTAACTAGAGGGCTCCTGGAAGGAGAAGGAGGCTTGTAATCCCAGCAATTTGGGAGGCCGAGCAGGCAGATAACTTGAGGTAAGGAGTTTGTGATCAGCCTGGCCAACATGGTGAAACCCCATCTCCACTGAAATTATAGAAATTAGCTGGGCGTGGTGGTGGGTGCCTGTAATCCCAGCTACTCCGGAGGCTGAGGCAAGAGGATCACTTGAACCCAGAGGTGAAGGCTGCTGTGAGTTGAGATCACGCCACTGCATTCCAGCCTGGGCAGCAGAGTGAGACTCCATCTCAAAAAATAAAATGTAAGGATGCCCTTTTTCCTGGACAGAGATAAGAGTTCATTAATCTCAAGGGTATCTACGACCCTAAAAAGGTGAAGAGCCACTGGAGTGGAGGGATGGGAAGGCTGTGAAAGGCAGTGTGTAAGGGTGTCAGGTGAGGGCACAGTTGCAGTGAGGTCGACCTGTTTGGTTGCAGCATGCTGCCGTTCCTGCTCCTGTCCTTGTGCCTTCAGCTCTTGCTCCATGTGCTGGATGTACCGAGCAAGGCAGTGGCAGTGGAAGTAGTGGTAACAGGGTGTTTTGGTAAAGGCCTCCTTCTCCTAGAGGGAGGACAGATGTAGGATACTAAGTCAGAACTCTCTCACAGCCCTCACCTGCCTGTTCCAAGCAGATGCCATGCCCCAAGAGAGAAACTCACCTGGAAACCATAGAGGCAGATGACACACTGGCCATGAGGGATGTTGTTATCCGTGAGAATTTCTTTCCCTTTCTGAGGAGAGAAGACACTGATCAAATAGGGGGGTAAGGGGCAGAACAGTGAGCAAGGCCTGTCTACTACTCCTAGGAGTGACTGGCTGGACGTGGCTCCTACCAGCCCACTTTGGTACCTGGTGTTTACGATTTCTGTCTTGGTGATTCTCCCTCTGCTGGGAATCAATCCTTCTCCACATCCCTGCCCCCTTCCCCACAATTTGATCTTTCTGGTTTTGAAATCCAACTTAATTGTTTTTCCTTTCTTTAAGTCACTTTTAATATACCTTGGAAATGAAAATAATACACCTTGAAAGAAAAAAATGTTCAATTAAAGCTCATCTTCTGGGAGGCCTTGCTTGCTTAACCCCCTTCCATATCACTCCCCACCATGGGGCAACGAGTTTGTTCTGAGTCAGCTTTCAGAAAGCATGTCAAGGCATGGACAACCCAAATGGACAGAGAATTCACAAGGCATCAAGTCGGGCTGTGAAATATGCATTTGAATTGTTATTTGAATAGCTAATAGTGTACTCTGGAATTCTACAAACTCCAAGGCTGCATTGTGGAAGCCCGACCTAGGACTGCTACAGTGGCCTGGCAAACCCACTCTCTTTGACTCTCAGCCACCCACCTTCATTCTGTTCTGGACATTTTTCTTAAAAATTTAAACTAGGAGAAGCTGGGCGTGGTGCCTCATGCCTATAATCCCAGCACTTTGGGAGGCCGAGGCTGAAGTCAGCAGTTCAAGACCAGCCTGGCCAACATGGAGAAACCCCACCTCTACGAAAACACAAAATTAGCTGGGTATGGTGGCATACACCTGTAATCTCAGCTATTCGGGAGGCTGAGGCAGGAGAATCACTTGCACCTGGGAGGCGGAGGTTGCAGTGAGCTGAGATCATGCCACTGCACTCCAGGCTGGGTGACAGACTAAGACTGCCTCAAAAAAAAAAAAAAAAAATTAAACTAGGGGAAAAAAAGACTGTACTTAATTCTATAGTGCAGTGGCTATTCACAGGTGCGACCCCACTACTGATCAGCACGGAGTTTTGACTTGCTGTTTCTGACCTGGGCCAGTTCACCCCTCCTTAGGCAACCTGGTGGTTCCCTGCTCCCGGGAGGTCACCATATTGATGCCGAATTTAGTGCGGACACCTGATTGGCATAGCACACTATAGCCCAGAACTCTTAGGCTCAAGTGATCCTCCCACCTCAGCCTCCCAAGTAGCTGGGACTACAGGCACGCACCACCGCTCCTGGCTTAATTGTTATTTTTAATCTCAAATAAAAGTTTTCTGTGTATATTGAAGCTCCAGGTGTTGCTTCACGTGGGTTGTTTCATTAAGCAGTGTACAAACTCTTTTAGTAAGGAACCATGACTTTTCTTTTCTTCAGCCTCCCCAGTAGCTGGGATTACAGGTGCGTGCCACTATGCCCGGCTAATTTTTTGTATTTTTAGAAGGCACAGGGTTTCACCACATTGGCCAGGCTGGTTTTGAACTCCTGGCCTCGAGCAATCCACCTGTCTTAGCCTCCCAAAGTGCTAGGATTACAGGGATGAGCCACTGCGTCCGGCCAACCACGACTTTTTCTAGTCAGTTCCAATGGCAGTCTAGCCTTCAAATGTTCATTTATGGCTAAGACTCCCCCAAGAGTATTATGGCAAGATCCTTATCTTTTGCCACTTTCAGTTGCCAGTGCCTAGAGAACAAGAAACACACTGAAACTGAAGCAAGAAAAATTCATGTTGAAGAGGAAAAGTCATTTTCTGTCAAGATGCTGGCATACGCAACTTGGAGAAGCTACTGAACTGTCTTTTGGGAAGTTTTTCAAATAGAAGAGTCTCATTTCTCTGGATTAATTTAGGCCTTACCTAATGACTCCAGATCTATTAAAGATTCTAGGCCCATGGTTTCCCTTTTATGGCTAGAAACTGCTCTAGCTTGAAAGAAAGAACATATTCCCAGGCTAGCACACCTCTTACCTCAATGAGTTCATAGAGCATGGCAGTGCCCAGCCCAGCCTTGGCCACATGGCCCAGCGCCTGTAAGATCCTGGAGGAAGATGGCAAACCAAATATTAGGCCTGCTCACTTCCCTCACAAGGCAAAGCTGTAGCTGAGTTTTCCCTGTTCTGTCAGGTCCAACTTACGTGTGGATCTGTTCATCTGAGAGTCCTCGGGGATTTCGGATAGAGATCTGTGGCACCTCATGGGGATACTAGTGGGGGCAAATCACAAGTTACTGCTGAACTGATCCACCCCAGGGACTTTCCCCTTCCTCCCTTTGCTGC